GGTTGTGTAACAGGCCTCACTCTCTTCGATTTCGTGCCGCTTACCCAGACGGGAAAATCACGGAGGCCTGCGCGGCGCATGACGGTCGAGTACGGACCTATTCCACCATCGTATGCACTGTCGTACTCTTTGTAGACGTCAACGCCGTTGGGATGTAGCACGGGTACTTGCACCATGCGCCTTCGCGTTTTCAGGAGGCATGGGGTGTTGTCCTTGGATGCCTTTGTAGGGATAATGGGTTTACAGGGGAGGGATATGTTAGACATCTCGAGTAACAATTATCAAGTTGCATGCAAGTATTGGTTATGAAAGCGACGGGAAAAAATAGATGCCTATGACTCACCGCAATTAGTGTTGTGTCATACACGCGATGTTCTATAGATGTCAGTGGCACAGCCGAAAGCATGGCCTGCTGCTCGTTGTGGTGTGCGATGGCCATGCCAATCTCACGCTTGTTCGAGGCCCGGTAGGGTTGTTTGCATGTGCGCACGTGCGCGTTCTCATACGGCGCTGCTGAGTACTCGGCTGGCACACCCGCTCTTTGAATAGAACCAGGCAAGTGTGTCGGAAGATGCACTTGCAATTATGTTCCATCCGTCACGTGTACGTGGGAAATTTGTCTCAAGCTGCTGAATCATGCTGCGCATTGGGAATATAGACCACGTTAGCCCTTGTGTCGTGCATCACGGCCCCTATGGTGTTTCCATGACGGACAGGGAGAGCTTTTTCGTTATAATATATCACTCACAGACGTGTGTTGGTTGTCATGTCCGCCAACGAATTCTTGGTGTGGTGCGGAGCGCGGATGTGCGTCTCGTGCCATTCCATGAATTGAATGAGTGCCATGTGTTGGACATGTGTCATGGTTCACTCGACAATGAAAGGAGCGACCTGCAAGGTGGGGTGCATCCATGCAACACTTTTTACGGCCTGTCGCTTGCAACTTGCAATTCTCTAGATCTTGCCAACACATGTCACTTAATAAACCGATTGGCTCTGTTTCCACGTACCATCATCATGGCTGCATTCTCCAAGGCTGTATGGTTAGCGCCAGATGCCCAATAGGCGGTTGATGCAGGGACCAAGACGCCGGCTAGCCTTGCAAATGCGTGTGTTGACTCGCTCCGGCTGTTAAGGAAATGTGACAAGTGTTTTATGCACGGTGACGGAGGTGGACGGATTGGAAACGCTGCGCATGCACTTACTCGTCCAATATCGGTGATGTGTCCTCGTTGCCACGAATGCCCCGCCTTACATACAGCCAAAGGCCGATGTAAATGAGATGCAGCAGATCAGGCGTGATAGCCAGGTATGTGTTACCCCACTCCTCCTTGCAGCCGTAGAAGCTCCAGAGGAACGCCTACAAATGTGCATCCACAGACAATGAAAAGAGCTCGTGTCACCCATACATGTCGGCCGGTATCGATGGACTGAGTTTCATGCAATGAATCGATCATCGGTGTAAACACATGTTTTTGCAATACGTACCACAATGGGAATGGTGCTGTACAGTGCTGTCAGAGCCGCATTGCGTGACAGGTACGTCTGCTGCTGTATGGTCCTGCACTCGGCTGGGGTGCAGTCCATATCGCGGAGGTTCTTTCTCAATACATAGCACAGGGAGCACGGCACGTCGGCATTCTGTTGCATTGTGCACGAGACCTTGCAGGTCTCGGGGTAGTCTCCCACGATTGAGAATCCCATGGGCCACATCGTATGTGGCACCCCCCACGGGTCGCGCAATGCCACCCCGCTGTAGGACGGGTAGATAAAAAGTATCTGGAGTCATTGTAGGGAAAATTCAGCGCAAAATATGGTGTGTAAGTACTCCATCAGTCAAGTGTTCACTCACGTGTGGGAGGCCTTAGTTAGGTGTTCAAGCATGACAGCCATCGCTGCCTGGAATAACGCAACCTTCTGTGGGGGAGTCAAGGATTTGGTACCCTCCGGCAGCAAAGTGAGCAGAATCCGCCCCTCGTCTCGCCATCGGAGACAAAGAGCGATGTTTGCGATGCTCAGATACACGGCCCAGACACGCTGGCGGTCATTGCCACTCAGTATTGTGGCATCGCTTGCGATGATCAGCGGGGCAATGACCTGACCCGGCCCAAACTTCTTGTCCAACCAGGCCTGTGTCACGAAATTACGTGAAACGTAAAGAGTGGGTGAGATATGTTGGACGTTACTGGCTTACATGAGGGATCAGATAAATGTACATGCGATGCTGGTGGATGACACGACATAGGTCCAAGAGAGAAGGAGGGATGTATGCACGGAGAGTTTATGGCAATGGCAAGGTGTGTGGTGCCAGCATCGTTGTTGCCATACTTTACAAGGACGTGCTGAGCGATAATGGGATAACACCAAGGCACCATGAATGGCAACAATACGGGTTATATTAAGAAAGAGAGGAAGGGCCAAGGATAGGGGCATATAAGTGTTCGTTGCTGGAGATAATGGAAGGAAGAGATGAAGGAAACTGGTCCTCGAACCAGGATTGGTCTAAGGAAAGGAAACGAGAAGCGGGGGGGGGGGGGGGGGGGGGGGGGGGAAGTTATGATAAGGAACGAGAGAGGAGAAGCTTTGGTACAGGGCAGGTGAATATGCGATGGGAATAGACGGAGGAGGGAGAGAGGAACGGAGCTGATATGGGACTTGGGAAACGTCAACAACTGGTAAAGATGGTGGGAGAGACTAAGGGATAGTAGAGATGGGGCAAAGGAATGGACATATGAGCGTTCATATGAAAGTCCATATGCTCCGGCGCGGTAATGGAAAAGGGAATGGAATGGTATCAGCGACGCGGCATAGGATGGTACATATGAAGGGATAACTGGATTTGGCATTGTGTGTGTGACGTGGGAAAGGGAAATTGACAAGGAGAAACGACGCCCTATCCATACCTGCGCCTTGTGCCAATAGTTGGCTGTGTGTGGGGTAGAGAACATAGGCTCCCCATCCGAATCGAGCTTTCGCACAGGATGAAGAACGAATCCTGGCCTGTTCGCAGGATGGCTGAAAATCTCATCCAATGCCTGCATTATAAAATGGCGGTATTGTGTGCGAACGGAGGATGAGATATTTGTGCCGATACAGGATGCTGCAGCGGGGAGATAGAACGTTGTTCCCATGTTGTTTGTGATCAAATATTGGATTTCCTCACCGCTATGCCTCCGGCGTGAATGACCTTGAATGTCCGACTCACTCCGGTAATCCGCACCTCGGTTTCAATGTATTTCCGCTTGCCCATCAGCCGCTTCAGTCCGTACTGTATAGCTGCCCGCTTTGACCTCCACCCTTTAACCTTTGAAAGGTCAAGACCTGCATCGTGTAGGATTATAAACAGCCTTGCGGTGTCCTTATTAGACATCCTTTTGCCGTTGTTACAGCTCATGATGAACCTGTACAGTTCGAGTTCTGTATCAAAGACCGTTCCTCTCTTGTCATGCATGGATTCGTCAGACTTAGTTGAATCGCTGTTGCTGCTACTGCCGTGACTGCTCCCACACCTTGGCTCGGCACCGGTTTCAAGGGGGGAGGTTCCGTGTGACATACATGCAGATGAGTGCGCATGCAAGAACCAAAATATCCCCTTAACACACATCAAAATGTGTGTGATTTCCCCCACTCATGTGCATATCAAGGCTGATATTGACATACCTCGCTCTCGGATGTAGCGAACTGGATCATCTCCTGCTGGCACCTCGTTTTGCTCTTTGTCGGAAGTCGAGACCGCCCCTTCGTGTCGGCTCCGTTGATATTTGCGCAGTCTGCATCGTCGACACTTTTTGCTCTTGCGCTTATGATTTAGCAAATGCCCTCGCTGTTTGAAAGTTTTACCGCAGGACTCACAAAGGTACACGTAAATCCACGTTGCCAGCCCGCGACGCGCACTGTAAATCGAGCATAAAGAGCAGGAAAGTTCGATGTTGATCTGTGTGTTTAAGATAAATAGGTGAGAGGAGTACACCTGGCAGTTGGGAGTGATGGGACAGGGTCCATGAATTGGAAACGAAGGCAGGGCAAGGACCGGTGTTGCACGAAAGGATAATGCCTGGTAGAAGGAACATTTGGATGTGAAATAGTTTTCAACGAGCGCATCTCATTGAGTGGAGATGACTGTGCAGCATTGAATATGAGAGTTCCTATGGCAAGGATTAAACTGGTCTTACTCATCGGTATCTATTGTTGAAATTGACTTGTGGGTGTTGTAGTGACACCCAATCCAGAGAAATCATCGGCTAAGGCGAAAACAATGTCAATGTCGTTAACCTCTGCCAATGACCAGGTAGCTGATGCCCAGCCTACCGGCAATTTTTGTGCACGAGCAAGCACGGGGTGGATGTGGACATGGTTGGGTATTGAGTCGTTGCTTGAGTTCTTTGTTCCCCGGAATAACCACGACTCTTATGGAGGTGGAGCTAGGCAGTAACCGGAGAATTGACGTTGGATTGGCAAAGGGGACGGGGATGGGGTTGGGGATGGGGATGGGAACGGGGATGGGGAGGGGGATGGACATGGCGATGGACGTGGGGATGGAGATGTGGATGGGCATGGAATTCGGCTGCGGATGGGGACAAGGACAGGGTCGGGCACACCAGAATGTAGCGGGTACATAGCTCATCAAATTGCAGATACACCCATGTTTCGCATTCCGTTCAGCACCACCCTCGGCACCACCCTCCTACCACTCAGCACCGCCCTCATAGCCCTCAGCACCACCCTTATAGCCCTCGGCACCACCCTCATACCCCTCAGCACCACGCTCTTACCCCTCAGCACCACTTTCATAGCCCTCATAACCACCCTCATAGCCCTCAGCACCACCCGCTTAGCCCTCAGCATCACCCTCTTACCCCTCAGCCCCACCCTCTTACCCCTTGGCACCACCCTCATAGCCCGCAGCAACACCCTATTACCCCACTGCACCACCCTCTTAACCCACATGCACCACGCTTTTGTCCCTCAGCACCACCCTCTTAGCCCACAGCACCACCCTCTTAGCCCTCAGCACCACGCTCGTACCCCTCAGCACCACCCTCGTACCCCTCAGCACCACCCTCGTACCCCTCAACACCACCCTCATAGCCCTCAGCACCACCCTCATAGCCCTTAGCACCACCATCATAGCCCTCGGCACCACCCTCATACCCCTCAGCACCACGCTCGTACCCCTCAGCACCACTCTCATAGCCCTCAGCACCACCCTCATAGCCCTCAGCACCACTCTCATAGCCCTCGGTGCCACCCTCATAGCCCTCAGCACCTTCCTCGTACCACTCAGCACCACCCTCATAGCCCGCAGCAGCACCCTCATAGCCCGCAGCACCACCCTCTTAACCCACATGCACCACGCTTTTGTCCCTCAGCACCACCCTCATAGCCCTCAGCTCCACTCTCGTAGCCCTCAAAACCACCCTCGTAGCCCACAGCACCACCCTCATAGGCCTCAGCACCACTCTCGTAGCCCTCAGCACCGCCCTCATAGCCCTCAGCACCACTCTCATAGCCCTCAGCACCACCGTAGTAGCCCTCAGCACCACCCTCTTAGCCCTCAGCACCACTCTCTTAGCCCTGAGAACCACCCTCTTACCCCTCAGCACCACCCTCGTAGCCCACAGCACCACCCTCATAGCCCTCAGCACCACTCTCGTAGCCCACAGCACCACCCTCATAGGCCTCAGCACCACTCTCGTAGCCCTCAGCACCACCCTCATAGCCCTCAGCACCACTCTCATAGCCCTCAGAACCACCCTCTTACCCCTCAGCACCACCCTCGTAGCCCACAGCACCACCCTCATAGCCCTCAGCACCACTCTCGTAGCCCACAGCACCACCCTCATAGGCCTCAGCACCACTCTCGTAGCCCTCAGCACCACCCTCATAGCCCTCAGCACCACTCTCATAGCCCTCAGAACCACCCTCTTACCCCTCAGCACCACCCTCCTAGCCCACAGCACCACCCTCATAGCCCTCAGCACCACTCTCGTAGCCCACAGCACCACCCTCATAGCCCTCAGCACCACTCTCATAGCCCTCAGAACCACCCTCTTACCCCTCAGCACCACCCTCCTAGCCCACAGCACCACCCTCATAGCCCTCAGCACCACTCTCATAGCCCTCAGAACCACACTCATAGCCTTCAGCACCACCCTCATACCCCTCAGCACCACGCTCGTACCCCTGAGCACCACCCCGTTACCCCTTATGCACCACCCTTTTGCCACTCAGCAACACACCGCACCCCGTCCACCAACATGCATGTGCCGTGTAATGATGGGAAAGTATGTACCAACACTCTCGTACCAACACTATGGACTCAAGGTACGAATATAAACACGACCGTATCCATTTGTAGACCGTCAAGGCGTGTGATCGGCCCGTTAGCTCGTAACCGTCGGACAATCACGAAGAGCGGCGGGTACCCATGTCATTAACACCCCCCCCCCCCCCCCCCCCCCCCCCCCCCCCCCCCCCCCCCCCCCCCCCCCCCCCCCCCCCCCCCCCCCCCCCACCCCCCCCCCCCCCCCCCCCCCCCCCCCCCCCCCCCCCCCCCCATGTGCTATACTCGCCTCTCAACCCGTGAACACGGCCGCAGGATAAGGTAGACAAGGCACAGCAGTTCCTCCTGCACGAAGTACCGGATGCGGAGATGTCGTATTGGCCTTACGAAGGCCCCGTTGTTCGCTCCATGGCACACGCCATGGAGTTCACGAGCAAGGAAGATCTGTCGTGGGTCCATCTTGTGTTCGAGCGGGACCGAGCGCGCAACAAGTGCTTCAACACTCACATGCAAAAGCTGCAGTCCGACATTTGGGCTGACGCGCGAGCGCAGTCTCGAGTGCGCAACGGACTGCCATATACAAAGCCAGTGACCTCGCGCGTGGTTCCACTGGCGACGCCCGACCCAACGGTGGTCGAGCCCATCACAGAGGAGCAATTCCCACGGAAGTATGCCTCGAGTAAGTTGCACCTAAGTGTCCATTGGTGCTGCTCCACGTGTCTCTCGGGAGCTGGAGTGCACATGCTCAAGTCCACATTGTATTCACACCCGCCACCACTACACCACTACACCAGCCATGACCACCATCATCCACCCTAAACACTCCCCAAATCACCACGACTCTCCGTGCTTACTAAACCCGCACTTGCATTCCCCCACTCACATGGCACTCTCATTCCTCGACTCCGCCTGTTGCTTGTGTTTTCACAGGTGCAACTACCCACGACCTGATGCCGTGGCATTGCCACGAAGACACGCCAGAGATTCCTTTCTCGAAGGAATCCTTTGACCTCGGCATCTACGCGACCTTCAAGAATGGAGCGGCACCCCCACTGGTCTTGAAGCTATACCAAGTAGCCTTTTGGCTCTTCAGGGTAAGCAAGTACAGATTTCCCCTTCCTTAAGTAGCATAACTTCTGCACGCAGGCGCTACACGTACTAACACCCCGTGATGATTTCATTCGTCCTTGCAGGTCGAGACGCCACTTCTGAAGAAGGCGGCACTCAAGAAAAGCCGCTCCCAGAACGGGAGGACGGTGCAGTGGTATCACTCACGCCTGAAGGCGTGGGCGCGGCACGCCATTATTGAGAGGAATCAGGAGCACGGCCCCTGGTGGAAGACCACACAGAAGGCCTGGGCTTTCAAGCACCAGGCCTTCGTCGTCATATCTTACGACGAGATAGACCTGGCTCCCCGTATCACGTGATTTAACGCGGCGGCGGCAGCAGCTGCTGCTGAAGTGGCTGCAGGGCTGGAAGGGCAGATAGACGTTGAGGCATTGGCAGCAGCACCGGCGCAGGCGACAGAGGGGGTGGCAACCGGGCAGAGGGGCAGCAGGCAGCAGGAGGCGGGAGGATCGGGCTGGAAAGGCAGCGAATGCAGGAGCAGCAGTGGCAGCAATAACAGGCGGAGCAACATCGGCAGGAGCAGGGGCAGGGGCAGGGGCAAGGGCTGGGCCTGGGGCAGCAGCAGCTGGGGCAGAGGCAAGGGCAAGGGCAGGGTCTGGGGCAGTAGCAGTAAAGGCAGAGGCAAGCGCAAGGGCAGGGTCTGGGGCAGCAGCAGCTGGGGCAGAGGCACGCGCAAGGGCAGGGTCTGGGGCAGTAGCATCTGGGGCAGAGGCAAGAGCAAGGGCAGGGTCTGGGGCAGCAGCAGCTGGGGCAGAGGCACGCGCAAGGGCAGGGTCTGGGGCAGTAGCAGCAGGGGCAGAGGCAGGAGCAGGGGCAGGGGCTCGGGCAGCAGCAGCAGGGGCTGGGGTAGCCTGAGCGGATGGCAGCTTTTTGGGAGACGATAATTTAGCAGACGGGAGTAACTGAATCGGGTTCTCTTGTTGAGCGGACACATCAGTGCATTTACTTGCAGCAGCAGCAGCAGAGCCAGCCACAAGACTTGGCCCAACAGCGGCAGCAACAGCAGCAGCAGCGGCGGCGGCAGCAGCAGAAGCAGCAGCAGCAGCAGCACCAGCAGCGGGAGATGCAGCAACAGCCGTACCGGCAGCCGGGGCAGAAGTTTCAGCGCCAACTGCAGCAGCATAAGTAGGCCCCATTGGGAAGAAGTACCAGCTCCTTATGAGAATTAGGCAGCACGGTCATAGCAGGTGCGGATGACGGCACCTTAGGAAGCCAATAAGCCAGCAGGGTGGAAGGACACCGCTGGTGTCACTTGTCCACACGGAAGCTGATGTGGGATGCTTGATAGAATAATCTGCCGTGCTCAACCTGCGTGTGTGCTGCAACGATTGTGATGTGTGATTGCTTTGGCAAAAGTACTCAATGGTGTAGGCAGGCTAGGATATATGAATACGCGTGCATGGATGTTGACAATTCCCACCTGCATGTGAATAAATTGCCTTGTATTTTCCTGGATGATGCTCCATGTATACAACACGAGAGGCGAAGCTATACAACCTGCATATGGGCAGTGAGCAAATCAAGGTCATTTTTCAGTTTGACAAAAGCTGCATTAATCTAAACATTGCAAATACTAGGAAACAAAATTATAACTTCAATCTATGCAGTGAGATCTACAGTGCACACAAGCATTATCTTCAGTAATACATAATGGTTACTTAATCGAGGGTAGAATTTGTGATTATACCATATCAAAAACTATTTAAATTCTTGGTTACCAGCTATGTAACAACACGATTTCGCTACAAACAGGCAGCCAATCGGGAACCGAACCTTTCGGTTTGATTTCCCGAGCAAGAGGTACAACTGAGATCGTATTCCAAAGCACGGACACCATCCGAAGTGGCCCCATCCGAACTTCTTGGGGCTCGGGATGGTGTCTGTGTGGGGCTGTCAAACATTTATATGTTTATGTGGTTCTAGGCTGTAGTGGGTCACACCATAAGGGGTACACCAGATTAGGGTTTGACATATTTGTACTGTTGTTCCTGCTAGTCACTCATCATTCTCGTTTCTCATTCTGCAGGCCCCCACTCTTGACTTTTGGGGTCGCAGGGTTGGCCGGAACGGTCGTCTGCGTCGTCTGACGCAGAGCTGGTTTGGTTTGCTTCGCGCCCAATAGAATCTGCCAGAACCCGTCGCAGTGTAGCCTGCCAAACGTCCAGTTCTGACTTCGTGGGCAATTGTGAAACTTCTGCCGCGAAATCGTTTTTTTCCCCGCTTTGAACATTCGATTTGGTTGACACTCACGATCTGGCACTCCATCCCTTCCAACTCTAAGCTTCTTGTTTCCCGTGTCTTGAAACCATACAAAACTTGCACTCGTCATAACACATTCGACACCAACTACTAGCCAGCAAACTTCTTGGATCTGGAGTTTGTACAACCGACTAGCGCGCGGGTCAGAATGCGTAAAGTTTCGTGACGGTAAATGGTCACGTACTCAGCCTGTCTGGTTCAATGTCCCAATCATACACCAACATGGCATGAAACCCCTTGTCGCATGAAGACGTGCAAGACGGTCGCATGTTACGTGGCCCTCAGCTCCAACGTGTCTTGATGCCGAACTGCGTGGCGCAACATTGAAATTCGAATTTCCAACATTGCGGACCGCGTGGCCCAACTTCGGATGGTGTCCGTGCCTTGGAATACGCCCTGAGTCACCTCGAACACCGACCTGCAGGTAAGCTGAGGGTCACATCGGGGGGAAGTTGTGAACTTTGACCATAGCCCTCTGTCCATAGCCATCGGGGGGAAGTTGTGAGCTTTGAGTAGCACCTCGAGCTAACCTCCAGAGAGGTTACCTGGGGGCCACTTTAGGGTTAGCTCAAACTAACATCCAAGGCCCAATGTTTTTCACTCGGAGTGAGCAAGGGGAGCGAGTGAAGCGGGAGGGAAGAAAGGTCTCTTCAGTCCCCCTCCCTACTCTTCGGAGAATGGACAGAGGGAAGGAAGGAGAGAAGGCGAGAGGGAAAGGAAGGAGAGGGGATGAGTGGGAGGGGAGGCGAGGCGAAGGGGGAGCAGCACGTAGGGAAGGGGGAGCAGCGCGTAGGGAAGGGGGAGCAGCGCGTACGGAATGGGGAGCAGCGCGTACGGAATGGGGAGCGGCGCGTAGGGAAGGGGGATCAGCGCGTAGGAAGGGGGGGCAGCGCGTAGGTAATGAAGGCGCGACGGGAATGAAGGCGGAACGGGAGTGAAGGCGGAACAGGAGTGAGTGTTTGAGCGGCGGGATTGAGTGAGCGATGGGAGTTAGTGAGCGACGGGAGTGAGTGAGCGACGGGAGTGAGTGGGCGACGGGAGTGAGTGAGCGACGGATGTGAGTGAGCGACGGGAGTGAGTGAGCGACGGGGAGTGAGTGAGCGACGGGTGTGAGTGAGCGACGAGATTGAGTGAGCGACGGGTGTGAGTGAGCAACGGGATTGAGTTAGCGACGGGTGTGAGTGAGCAACGGAATTGAGAGAGTGATATGTGCCTCCGGCGAGTGTGGATGACGGAAAGCGAGAGAGCAACAGCAGTCTGTGAACGACAGGATTGAGTGTGGGACGGGAGTGTTTGTCGAGGTGTCATAGCCGATTTTTCTATTGGCTATGCGCGTGACGGCTAACGCGATATAACCGTCAGTGGCGACGACTGGTTCTTACGGCGGTCATCGAGGCGGCATTCTGTATTTGCTGTTGGCTACCAGATCTTACTCGTTATGCGCGGAAAAGTCGACGGGAAGGGCAGTCTCTATGTGCTACTATTGTCTTAGCATAGTACGGAGATGGGCGTAACTATGCTAGGCTGATGACGAGAACTAGGGCTATGGAGCCCACTATGCTACGAGTCTAGAAAGGTATTCTCGAGTTTCAAGTTTTGAAAGTGTGAACAGTGAGTTTTGCTTTTGTTTGTTCCAGGCGAGGCTCGTCGCTGTTTTGCTGTGGAGCATTTGGCCAATCACCTTCTGGCCCACCAACTTCCTTCTCGGTGGGTCGCGAGGGAGAAGCTTTCTCTACCTGGTTACCCTGTTCTTGACGAACTCAAGTTCAAGAATCTCGAACTTGAACCCTTACCATTCTAGACTCGGGCTTTAATGTGTGGGACCTTTCCATCCTTCCAGTCTCCCTCTGTCAACCTCGCATCCCCCTAGGGCACTCGGCATGAGTTGCTTGTGTCTGTCTTCACCGTGTGATGTAACTATAAAAGGGTTATTCACGGGAATCTGCCTCCTGTGAGGGTTGCATGGTGCAGGGAAGAGCAACCGCTGCAGCCAACCTATAACGCCAACACTGTTGCTGCTGCTGCTTCTGCTGCTAGTGCTGTCGCTGGTGTTGTCAGTGGTGCCATCACCAGGTGTTGAGTGGAACGTGGAAGGCGAAGCAGTAGAGGCAGGGAGAGAGCACCAGGTGCCTGGCGTGATGCCATCAGGCTGCCGCTGCAGTAGCTCCCTGCGAGCACCGGAGGATCGGGAAGGGAGAAGGGGCGAGGGAAGAGGGAAGGTGGGGTATGTTGAGGAGGGGTGGGGATCGCCAAACTTGTAGCTTCCTGTGATAAACTATCAGGAAGAGAGTCTGGAGGTTTACTTACATTGTAAACAAAGCTCTCTGCATTCACAGAATCCCTTGCTTCACAGCAATTGACTTGGTTGGTTCAGTTCACTTGACTTGAGTCACCTCGAAACACCGTGTTGCGAAATCAACCCGGCCAGTTGGTTGGTTTGACTTGATTGACTCGGTCGTACCTGTCGATCTTATCCAGAGTCGGTGAGTCGCGAGGAAGCTTCCTTGCAAAGAGAAAGAAGCCACAGGTGAAGGTGAGAAATTTAGAATGAGAAATGAAATGACTATGAATGAAGTGAGTACAAATAGGAAACCCTAATGGGATTGTACCCCCTATGGGATACCCCACTATAGCCTACACATATATGTAAGCTATAATGTTCTGACACACCCCCATAGGCAAAGTGGGGGAGAACAAGGGGTCAGAAGACCAGTCAAGCAAAGCAAAGCAAAGCTCAGGGTGGATCACAAAGTCACAACACATTCCGAGCACAAGTTCAAAGGCTAGAAGGCCAGTTCACATGCAAGATCACATATAGAGATATACAAGAGTCAAGCAAGCAAGAGCAAGAGTATATATAGGTAAGGGTACAAGCAAGGTCAAGAAGTGAGCAAGTGAGGCAAGACACGCACAAGACCCAGCTGCGTGCAGAAGCGCTGATGATCACAAGGCGCAAGTGCCTTGGTGAAGACATCAGCAGTGTTGGCCTCAGAGGCCACGTACGCAAGTCGCAACTGTCCACGCTGCTGTAGCTCACGAGCAAGAAAGTAGCGGAGAGCAATGTGCTTTGTCCTGTGCTCCAGACGCTGCTCTCGACACAAGGCCAGCATGGCCTTGTTGTCTACGTACAGGACTGGAGGAGAACGAGGCGGCTCTCCAAGGTCGGTCAGCAGGTAGGTGAGCCAGCGAAGCTACTGGGCCGCCATAGCCCCGGCGTAGATCTCAGCCTCACAACTGGAGCCAAGAACAGAAGACGAGCGAGTAGCCCGCCACGAAACACAGCCGGAACCAAGGCTGAAGGTGTAACCCTGTGACGACCGCTGCGTAGCCTGGTCGTCAGCCCAAGAAGCGTCCGCGTGCCCAGTGAGGACCACTGGACTGCGCCCTCCAAGCTCCAGCCCCATGCCCGACGTACTGCACAAGTAGCGCAACACCCTCTTCGCTGCAGCCATGTGCTCTGTTCGGTGTCTCCCACGAGCAACATAGCGTGCGAGAATGCTCAGAGGGTATGCAAGGTCAGGTCGTGTGCAGGTCATCAGGTACATGAGGCAACCAACAAGCTCTGCATACGGGCCACTCGACTCTACGGACTCATCCAAAGGCAGAGCTGAGAGCGAGTTGCGAGTAGGCAGAGGAGTGGCCTGAGGCGAGGAGTACGTGAAGCCGAAGCGCTGAAGGACCTGCTGCACCATGTGTGACTGAGTCAGGGTAATGGTGCGGCGTGCTCTGTCCCGGGTGATCTGCAAGCCAAGGTAGCTGCGCAGTTCACCCAGGTCAGTGCACGTGTGTCTCTTCTGCAGCTCAGACTTCACGTAGGCGAGTCCAGCAGTGTCAGCTGTGGCAAAGACCAAGTCGTCGACGTACACGAGGATGTAGA